AACGGCGAAGTGTTAACAGGCAGATTTTCATATGCTTGGAGAGTAAGGAGTTTGCTTGCATTATGTTAAGGTTCTAAATTACGATATTATCATCATTATGAATGTTCTTCTTGAATTAAATCTAATATTAAAAAATACATTACAGTTACCAGTGGATAGAGTTCTAAATAATGAAAATAATAAATTTAAATACAATATTGCTATTACAATATACCCTGCCTTTTCATTTAAAAATATACGAGAGTTAGAACTTTAATAGTGACAACTATTTATTTACAAGGAGTACAAAAGTGATTCATGTCACCATGTTTTACAGTCCTTCAATATAGTCGCCAGCATTGTGTACAACCCGCTTCCAACGATGTGGAAGTCGCAGAATACCTGTAGCAGCGCCTGTTTTGTTGATAGTTTAAATGGACCGATCTACTGCCGCAAGAATCTCAGGAACAGTTTGGAAGCGAGTGCCACAAAGTGTGGGGAGTGGTGGATGGTAAAGCACTTCCCAGCCCCATCGCTTGAACAAATCAGTCACAGCTTACACTGCATGCGGCCGAGCATTGTCATGCAAAATGAAAGAAGCGTTCTGCAGAAAGTGTCGTCGTTTTTTTCTCTGAAAGCTGGTCGGAGATTATACTCCAAAAATGAGCAGTAATACTGTGCAGTGACGGTCTGCTGTGGGGGAATGGTATGCATTAGGATGACACTATCACAGTCGTACACGAGAATCACCATAACTTTCACATTGCTGTGGTTCTGACGAAATTTCGAACGTCGTGGTGACCCGTGATGACGCCATTCGTTTGATTGGCGTTTCAGTTCTGGCTGGTACGATCGGGCCCAAGTCTCATTCAGCGTAATGTTACGGCGTAAAAAAGCATCTCCTTCATGCTCATAGCGCTCCAGGTGGGTTCGGGCAGCATCGTATCGTAGCCATTTCTGCATTTCCGTCAATTGATGTGGAACCTATAGTGAAGCAATTTTTCTCATGGACAGGTGTTCCTTCAAAATGTGCAGCACAGTCGTAAGCGCTAATCCTGTTTGTCCGGCCGGCTGACAAATCGTTTGGCGGCAATCACTGTCCATTAGTGCGGCAACAGCTTGCACGTCTGCATCACTGACACTCGGACGACCTGGCCGTAGCATGTCTGCCACGTTTTGGTATCCTTCTTTGAATGCTTTCACCCATCTTGCTACAGTTCTGTAAGGCAATGCAGATTCCCCGCAAGCCTCTTGAAGACAATGTCGTGCTGTACGACCTCTGGAACATTCAATTTTTATCCAACATCGTTGTTCTTGTTTTGAAAACATCCTGACAACACTTACTTTAGACCGCGAGCTAATACAAGAATCCGTTCTTCGCGTCACTCCGCATGCGCGTAACGTAGGCAGGACGAGTCTTTTTGCTGAGAGGTAAGGTAGGTATGTAGTTTACGTGTGGTATACGTGATATTCTTTGGTTTTGTTGCATAGCGTTTTTTCAGCTGTGTTGCCACTATTAAAGTTCAAACCCTCGTATCTTTTAGAAATATATTTCTAATGGCTTTTTTGTATTATTATTGCTCTGCTTTGAGTGGTCTTTTCTATAAGTGCTTTGTTGAAATTTAAAGATTCAATGCTTTCTTTGGTCTAATTATGCTATAAAAACAAATTTCTACATTGGCATCTGAACTCAAATGTGGTGGATGAAAAATTGCCATTTCTTGGATCTCATGCCTCTTCTTCTATCGTATTATATGTGGGGTTGAATATAAAGAATGTCACATTCCCTCACATGTGCTCTTATGGTTAGCAAGTGGAAGATCTGCAGTTCTAATATTAACAAAGACACTTTTTTTTTTTTTTTTTTTTACACTTCCAATTCCAAAAATCATAATAGTCCTACAAACATACTAGTACTGGCATGAAATGGGTTTTATTTTAGCTATTGTGTGAATTTGTTTGCCTCTACAATAGATGCTGTGATGGTGAAAAGATACTGGATGGAATGACAGCAGACATTTTGATAATGGGGTTTGAGTAAGATATTCATTGTTATGAACAATAATGCATAACCTTACAGAGTAAATCTGGTGGATAACAACCTCAAAAGGGGACTTACAGTACAGCTAACATGGTGTAACCTTTAGATTTCCTTTACCTCAACCACCATAAAAAATCTTTGCAATATGCTTGAATATGATACCTCTGCCTATACAAACACACTCAGAAAGGCTAAAAACTGCCCTGTTAGAAGAATAACAGTTATTGTCTGTAGCAGATTTGAGCACTTAATTACAGGTATGGAATGTCACTGATTAGATTATAAGTTTCTACAGTTTGCATTACTTGGCTTACTTATTTTTTAAGGCATAAAATGCTATGTACACTGCGCAAAAAAAAGGGGGGAAGGAGACAGTTTTATATCTCCCGTTATACCGGGCCAATTGACGAAATTCAAATTGCATTTTTTAGTCTCGAAAGCGCGACTTAAGATATAAAAGGTAACCAAAAAAGTTTTTGCCGTTTTAGATAGTCAGAAAGAAAAAGTCATAAAGAAATAAAAATCACTGCTTATACTCAAAAGTAATCACTATTGACATCCAATGCCTTTTGCCAATGAGTGGTTAGCTGTGCGATGCCACTCGTTGAGGTCTGGTCAATTGTTAAAGGATTTCTCACGAATATGATTGTTCAGGCCATGGAAAAGTTGGTAGTCTGTTCGCACAAGATCTGGGGAGTATGGTGGATGGGTTAGAGTCTCCCAGCCCATTTGCTAGATGGTGTCCCTGGCCTCCTGAGGACTTGAATTGTCATGAAGGAGTATAAACCAGCGCCTTTGACACGTCCATTTCAATCAATCGCTGTGCGAGTTATGTTTGAAGTACTAATGCAATGCGCTTTTATACCCTTGGTCTGTGACCAGACTCGCATCCTAACCACTTCATCACCAGGTTTGGTGACTATTTTGACGTTTATTTTTGTGTTTCTTCCAATGTCATTTCAGAAATGCCAAGAACTTTTTAGATTTATATAAAACATTGTTCTAATGCATTTTGACACAAAATCAGCATTCTGAAATGATATGCCGGTTTTCTTCCATATTTCGATTCTACGACTCAAATTATTTGCTAATATTAAATTTTGTAAAGTTTGGTTTAAAATTTACGGAGAAATTAAAAAATTTATTTTGGCGCATTTTATTTTTCAATTTGCGCCAAGAATAATTCACTTGATGAACTTCTCAATGTATAGAAACTTGTTTTCCTTTCTTTTTTTCATTGCACATGAGTGGAAAAAAGGTCATAGTTCATAGAATCAAATAATTTTAACAAAATATGTAAACATTTAGCATTATTATCGCTTATAACAAATATGCCGACTATCAAAACATGCCAATGTGTAAATTCACTTATATCTTAGGAATTTTTGAATAAAAACTATTTTTTACAGGTATGCTTATAAATACATCTACTTTAAGATAAATTCACTTATATCTCAGGAAAGTTTGAATAAAAACTATTTTTTTGCAGGTATGTTTATTAGGTTATAATTCAAAATTCTTTTTGAAAAATTTATAAAATTTAAAAATAAACTTTAAATATAAATCATAAAAATTGGCGAATTTTATTTGGAATGAACCTAAATTTCAATATATGAAAGAAAAATCATAAGTTCAATTTAAAAAAAAAAACAGATACTAATAAATATATACCAAATTCAATTAACATGCAGGAGCTAAAATTTTAAGAGCTAATTTTTTACAAACTACTTATGTGATTTTTACAAAACTTGAGTTGTAGAATCGAAATATGGAAAAAAATTGGCATGTCATCTCAGAAAAAGTCCGATTTTGTGTCAAAATACCTATATTGGAACAATGTTTTTAAGTTGAGCTTTCGAGACATGAAAAACGCAAGTTGAATTTTGTCAATCGGCCCAGTAGAACTGCAGATATAGAACTGTTACATATTTTTTGGTGCGGTGTACATACATAAATGATAAATATAGCTAAAATAAATTATAATGTTTTTAATCATTAAACTATAGGGTAAGTCCTTGAACAACATTAAAGCTTACTATTTGGGAATGGAACAACTTATACCTTTGGCACTGGTCACATTTTCACAAGCAAAATTCAAAGTTTCTATGACAAGTTACACAAACTCGATATGCACAAAAAAAAATGGTCTCTAGTTGGCAGTGTTCCAAGTGTGGGCAAATGTAATTAATCAATGTATCAAGATAAAACTCCGGCTGCTGCTGTTTGTTCATGGAAGAGAAAAGGCTCAAAAATCTTGTTATGTAGCATCCCACAACAAACATTCACTTCTGAGCTGTCCCGCTTGCACTCCGTTGTGACAGGAGAATTTTTAGATCCCCAAATGTGTATATATTAAGGCAGAAGAAACTATTAAGAAATGTTTTCAAGGAAATACCAACAGCGTGTTGTCATGACTGATGATGGATAAGATGAAAGTCTTTATTATAATTGTATTAAAACTGCTCAGAAATAAAATGGGTTAATGCAGTGCTCAAGGATACAACAATCATTCCAGCTGTGCACCAGCTAATGTTACATTTGATACGTAAATGCCACAAACTAGTTATTTTACTATTTCTGTATATTTTTTCTATGTTAAGTACAATTGTTTGGCTTATGGAAGTGGCCATTATTAGACATGACATCACACTGTGATATTTCACGGCTTCATTTTCATAGCACATGACATATGAAGAAAGCTTACTCTATCTATTCTAACCGCCATGGTGTCTACAACAACAGGAGAAATTTGTTCAGAGACTTTCTGGACACTCTATATACCTGAACTGCCTACTTTCATGTCAAATTTGGAGTTAATCAAAGCATAACATTTTCTGGTTATGTTTTATTTTGCTTTAACATGCTTATTTGAAAGTAGCATATTAAATTACTGCATTTTAAGTAGCAAAAGATGAGTTCTTAAAAACTGTATTCCAATGTATATAAATTTTAGTGGAAGAAGACACAAAGAAACTGCAAATCTGAACATGAAATTTTAATGCTTTTTTGTTGTTGCTGATGTAACATTTGTTTAAGCTTTGTTCTCAAAGCTTTATTACTGGTGGCATTAACCACACCTTCTATAATCCTGCACAATTTGGAGTAGTTAAGTAAGTAAACTTGTCTGTTGACAAATTCACATGCAATTATCATGTTACAATTTTTACCAGTCAGTTGCGGAAAATATTTTAACAAGGAAAAAATTTAAAGAACTAAGATGTCACTTTGAAAATAGAAAATCTTATCCAGTTCTGTGTTCATGCATACGCGAGAATCTTTTCAGTACAGTATAACACTGCATACTTTTAGAAGTAAAGAATATTTTTAAAGGCATTTAAGAAACAATGATTGGATTTAAATGCATAGAAGTTTGTAACTGATAAATTAATTCAATGTTTTTCAGTAATGCGTCTTAATTCTTTTCACCCTGCATATTAATGACTGACTGGTAGTCAAAACTTCGAAAAATTATTCATTTTCATGAATGGAACCGATTTATTTTACAGCAATATATTTTGTGAATTTCAGGCATTTCAGGGCTGATTGTGTAGTTGTATAAAGAAATAAATGACATTCTGATAAAATTACTAAAATATTATCAGTTTTGCAATAAATAAAAATTGATCACTTTTAAATAGTGTTTGAAAAGCTGGTTGGTCTAACTTTTTTCCCCTGATAAAAATTTCTAGATATCACATGGATCAGATGAACACTTTGTTGGTAATATTAAATTTGTTTCGTACAAAAAATAACTTCTTTCATATATTTACATACTTGTGTCAATTTACATATTTTGATCAGCTGATATGCAGAAAAATATCTCATTTAATATACTAAAAACAGCTACATTGAAAACAGTCTGGTGAGCTGGTATATTTTACAACATGTTGCTGCTGCTAAGACTGCTCAAAATGTAATCCATACTGGAAGCAGAGATTTTGTAAATTTTTTTAAAATATCATTAGATGGGAAGTATAACGATCAAAATCAGGGCTTGATGCTAGTAGCTTAATTTATTTCTAAAAAATTTCTAATTGCATGAGAGAATTAAAAAAAAAAAAAAAAACTTAGATTTTAAAATGCATTTATGCTATGTAAAAGAAATTATACTTAAAATTACATAAATAATGTTATTAAACCATCCAAAGAGTGAATTGCATGTCTTGGAATAGATATATTTTTCTCAACTGAAATGATTTATTAAGTGGTATCTTTAAAAGTTGCATATTTCATATAATAAGCTACACAGAAATCAGTTGATGCTATCTCATTAATGAAATGCAATATGACTGCTAATCCTTAAACATAATTTATTTGAATTATGGCTCAGTAAGTGCTGAAGAAATGAAGACTCATTCTAGTAGAGATTCATACAGATAAATGTATTTATTCTTAATAAAACTATCCCCCTCTCAGATTTACATCAACACAAGGCACTGCATACAGCTATAATTAAGGTACTCTGTAGTCTCCAGAACTTGCTTTTAAATGTTAAGGCTGCAGCCGGAAATGAACATTAACTGAATTTCAAAGAAAAGCTACAAATCTAATTGTCTCTAACAAACTGTTAAAATAATAGCTTTGGAAATTTTTGTTTTAGCATTCATATAATTTTACCATTCAATAATAATTATTTGTTCTTTTATCTGCAACATATTTAAATAAATATTTTGAAGATGTTAAATAACATTGGAAAAATTATATATATGAATAAACATGGAAAAAATTCCTGCAGATATGAAAATGAAGGTCATTCTGAAGTAACATATATTGCTAAAATGTATGGTTTAATTTAATTAAATGACATGTCTTGCATATTCACTATGAAGAATGCACACTTAATGGTATTTATTCTTAATCTAAACATCATTTATAGATAAGCAATATGAATATGGAAAAAATAGCTCATATTTCTGATATGGAAAATAGCTATTTTTACTACATATATGATTTTTTTAAAATTTCAGTACTTCTGAATGAAAACTTTTATGAAGCGTATATAAATTTTTAACTTATGTAAAACTATGATTTAAAATCTATATTATGCCTAGATTTTACTTCTCTGAATTTCAAATTTTGCTCTTTTAATAATTCTAAATGAAATCAGGATAGAAAATAATATATCTAAGCCATTAAGTACTTCAGATATGAATAAATCAGGAGATCATATTAACCATTATTATTAATCATAACCTCAAGGGACACAATCAACCCTGTATACCTGCAGATAATTTTATTTTATTTTCAGAGTGCAAATATACTGAAGATCACATAACACACAATACACAAAATTTAAGAAAATAAAAACTTTGGTATTCAAGCACAACAAATATACTTTTTTCCCTCCAAGCTATGGAATGTTACAGTGAATCATAGGTTTTGAAACTGCAATACTATGGTAAATAAATTTACAATTAAGAAATACAATTTTAAACTACATACATGACAAAATTTCAATCTATGTCTACTGAGGCATTCAAATACTCTGTAGAGATAACATTTTTCAGTATAAAATTCAGGAATGTCAATGAGTGTATCATTTAAAAAAATAAAGACATTATATAAGAAAATTTAACAATAGTTATCTTAAAGTACTGATTTCATTAAGATTACATCTAAAGATGTTGCAATCTGTTGATGGAAATATAAAAGAATTATATTGCATTCACTAATTTATACCCAGTAAAAATGTTCAACATGTGACCATACAAGAAAATAAAAGTTTTATGCCCATTATAAAGTCCCCAAATTAAAATCTAAAATTCAAAAATAGATTTTACATGTTTAATTATTAACATTATACTATTAAAACATTCAATTCCTTGTAAAGTCAGATTTCTAAGACAAAAAATAAACATTTATCTACTCATAACAGATACTACTCTTATTGCTTACTTTTTATAGAATAAATTAGGAACTCAACAATTTTGTGCCCAGATATGAGCTAATCATTAAAAAAATTACAGATATTACAAAATGATATAAGAAGCTATATTGATATTAAATACAAAATAAATTAGTATATAACACATGATAATGATGCAGCAAACACATGATCTGCAGCACATAGTAAATAAATAGAACATCTTACAATGACAATATCTGAATGGTTAATTTTTTAAATAAAATTTCTATAAAATAAAACAGCAAAATGGGCACAAGTTTTTGTTCCATAAAATTTTTTGCCATTAATTCTACTTCTCATATTTTGGCATTTATCAGTATCAATAAAAAGGGAGAGGCAAACTTACAGATGTAACAGCTTATAACATAGGAATGGCATTATTAACAAGCTCACATTTTTCTGTATTGATGCTCTTTGCAAGAAATCATTTTAATGCCAACTACAATGATGGATAGTATCTACTTCACTTTTTGGTTAACTATGATTTAAAGGCAATCTAAAATATTACATGAATGATTCTAGAAAAATGTTACAAATTTTGATTGGAAGACTGATTATGGGAGAGGGATAGGTAAATAGGGCACTTGTAAAAAATCATGACTGGACAAAAGTAATTTGAGCTAACATTTTAGAAATGAGAGTACACATAAACTTTTATTTTTTTTAAATTTAGAATTAGAAATTAACTCTAGAAAGCAAATGATTTTAATTAATTAGAATTGGATATTCCAATGATTCAAACCAATTTAATCTTAGCAATACGCACAAAGAAAAACGGCACACACTTGCAGTTAAAATTTATGGTAAAAATTAAAAACAATTAAGGACAGCAATAAAATATTTATCTTTAAAATGAACAGAAAATTTAAATTAGAAGTGTAAAAGGAAGACAATGCATGCATTTAAAAGCAATTCAAAAATGGTAATTCATTTGAGATATTCCCTGTCATTTTATTCAAAGTTAAAAACTTACCTAGCTTTTTACGTTTTCTATAAACAGATCTATTCCTCATTTTAACATACATAGTTACGATGAAAGCACCAATGTAAGTTAAAAAAAAATATTTTAAGTACCCACAAAAATTGTATTTCCCCCATATTCATTTATGAGTAATTATTTTTTTAAATAATTAAAAAAAGCAGCTTTATTTTTCTTGATGAACACTAGATCATGATATTTAAGAAGGTACAAATAAGGAAAACTAGAGGCAGGTCATAAAAAGGCACGAATCCACAAGATTTCACATTTTCTTGCGTTGAAGGCTTCTTTTAACAACTTAATCACTTTGCTGAGAAGTGAATACATTCTTACTGTGAGTCACAATCAGTGTCTTGAAATCCGTGCGTATCCTTCAGTTATCATAGCCAGAATGACAGGCCACTGTGTAGGTACGAAAAACGCAATACCTACATTTCTAAATCCTACAAAACTACAACTAAAATCTAAATCTAAATTTCAGACAAGGGACAGAACAATGCACATCACATCACCGTATGAGACATACATTTAACATGAAAACATGAAACTTATTGTCTTTAAACAAAAAAGAATTTCGCTGCAAAATACACTTGCAACACAAAAAAGTCAGTCATGTGTCACAATAAAATCTCTCCTGTACTTTTAACAGATTCGCTCAAGTGTGACACAACTTTTAGTGCATATAAAGAAACAAAATATCAATGATCCTTAAAAAAAGGATCCACATTCCACAAACCTTCAAATGTCAGTTTATTTAAGTTAAAAAACTACATCACTACGGTGTCCATAAAATCACTCATATTAAACTTGAAAAGTAGGGAATGCGTGTAGGCATTGGCAATCATTCTCTGAAACAAGTCTTTCTTGGGAAGGAAAATTCCATTAGCGAGTCAACAACCGACAACAGATGTCATGTAGAGAATCTCGAGAAATAACATTTGGGTTTAAAAAATAGCTTTTTAGATGAATAATAAAATAAAAAATATTCTCTTTTTAAACTTTGTATGAAGTCCATCATCATTTAGAAATTGAGGAAAGAAACCAATGTAATCAGACTGATTCTTGATCATCAGACTCTGAGAGATGTCCGAAGGTCAAGGAAATCATATACATGAAGAGTTGCATCAGTATGAATTTGTCCTGAAAGAAAATACATAAATACAGATAATTCACATTTTAAAAATGGAACTAAGAAAATATGAAAAATTCAAATCTCAACATAAAAAAAGTATATTAGGTACAAAGTCTGAAAGAAGATTTTAATTCTTTAAAAATATTTAACATTTAAAAAACAACTTAATTAAAAAATTTACTACTCCATTTAAAACAATGTTTATGATTCAGTTACCAATATAACAATTTTAAACCTTCTTTTATTAAAATAAACATATGAAATTTTCAATTTATTTAGCATAAAAATAAAGCTTACAATAATCATTCCAAATGTAACAAAATTTTATACTTCATAAAATGGCTGAAAATGTTGGATTGTTTTTTTAATCCATGTTTATACTGCAATTTTGATTTTTGAAAACAATTTAGAAGATAAGCATGCATATTCAAATATTACATTATTTTGGTTACAACCTTCATTATACATGCAATTGTTTTAAGCGAGATTTTGCAAATCTAAGAAACAAAACTTTGATACTTTTTTTTGTTTTCTATTGTCCAAATCATAAATACACAAAAAACTTGCACCCTGGAATGAAAACTTATGAAAATAAATGTTTTCTTCTCAAAAAAACTTTAAATTGCTTGCATTCTGCTATATGTTATCTTTTAAAAAATATATGATGGTTCACATTTGTTTTCCGATACATGTGTTTTTAAATTTTAATTGAAAATATCAGTTACTAAATAGAAGTGAAAGGATTTCATTTTCTTTTCACATATACTAATGACGATCTTTTTTAAAACCTGGTTGTTTTGCAAACCGTCACTACAAAGACTTTCACTAGTTTAATTTGAAATAATTCTTTAACCTTCCAGCACATGCATATGCGCAAAATTTACGACAAATTCAGTTTTTAATGCACATTTTTTGCAAATTGAATCCGATACGTCTGAAGGTCATTTCTATTCCTCCTTTCGACCCTTCCCCACATTATGGAATGTGGCAACAAGAAGTCATTTGACTTTTTTTTGTTTACTGGGATTTTGAGCAATGTGCAAGCTTTTTCATAAAGTTTATCACACGCATGTGCTCGTGAGTGAAAATTCCCCCAAATTTTTTTTCTCAAATATTTTGTAATTTTGTGTTATTAATTGTAGTGTGTTATTTTAATTTGAATACATTTGGCTATGTAAATTTTATATTGGTTTTCATATCAAAATGTTTCATAGCAAAAAAATATGTGCAACCAGCTGATTTTGCTCGCATTCTTCAAGAATAATCTGATGAATTAAAAGGAAGACAAAGAAACCTTTGGATGGGAGAACAATAGCAATTTCCATTCCTTATTTTCTTTTTTCTTTTCTTTTTCTTTTCTATTTTTAGAAGTAAATAAAAATATTGCAGAAGTAAATAATGCTAAACTTACTTTTTTTCCTACCAAGGTGTTTTCCTTTTTTATTTGTCTATACTTGCTTTTGATGAATATTAAAATTAGCTATAATTAAATACATTATTGCATTTCCATCTCTGTAACATAAGAACTTAAAAATAATTTACTTATATTTGAATGTGATATCATTTGCATTTTGGAATAATAAGCTTGATATTTTATTTCTTAACAAATTTACTATCAATATTCACTCATTCCTATCGTTTTTCGTGCCAAAAACGGTAAAATAACGGATGTTGTAAAAAATACGAGGCGCACGTGCTCATGTAAAATAACCAAGCATGCATGCTGGAAGGTTAATATCCTTAACATGTCGTTACGTTGCACAAATACACTGGATGGCAAGGAGCATTATCAATCAAAAGTAAAGCTTTTGGTTCTAGTTTTTTTTTTAAGACTTGCAGTAGCATTTAACAGAATGCTCAGTCAACCAATTCTCTAAAATTTTCATAGTGATCCAAGATTTTTTATTGGACTCTCAAATTACTGGAAGAAATTTCCCTCATTGCTCTTGGGATTTTGAAATGATAAACAATCAGTGGCTTTAATTTAAAGTCTCCATTTAGCATTACCATTCAGGTGCTTGCTTTTTATCAACGTGGTAAAAACGTACGTTTTAGCATTCCCCCCCCCCCAAAAAAAGAAGCTTGTTTCATCAACACTGAAAGCTAATTCAAGATGACAATTTCCTTGCACAATATCACTCGACATGTAACAGCTGGTCTGGTATTTCTATTTGCCACTTCTCCAGAAATCTGTTATGAATATTGTTTCCGTTTTCAAATCAATAGAACCACGCTTCGACAAGCTATGAAATTTTCACTAGTGTTACCTTTTTCAATCTGAATATGGTTCAAAATTATTCTCATTCTTCCCCATTATAATTGCTTAATTTAATTGCATATTAACTTTAATTGTCAATCTAGATGGGAAAAGCCATTTTTCCATTTCTCAATCACATTGCTTTTGGAACGGGTGATTTTTGTTGCTGAAGTCACCATGGTTATAAATGCCTGATGTTAAAATTTTTTCTTGATTTTTTAGAATTATGCGTATTGTTCAAGCAGACATTGCAGTACCAATATAAAATTGCTGTTCACCTGCACCTAATCATCTGAGCACTTGGCATTTTAATTTTCAGTCAAATGCTTTTTCTTGTTGCTTTATTTTCTTTATCTTCGGATTCACCCACTGTAAAAATTAAAATTGCCATATTTATCATAAAATACTGTTGCATGAGAACGGGTTCTTACTGGACTGAATGCACACAGAACCAATGACAGCTTGATAAAATTTATTTTCTCCAAAGAAACAATTTGCAGTTCTAGAACTTTACACAAAAGTACTCTTACACAGCTTTACTCAGTATAACAGAGCACAATCAGTAGCTACCATTTCAAACTACTAAGAACACTAACACACAATGCAATGCAAAAAGCGTACACAGACTGAAGCTCACACTGAAATCTGTCAATACTCCAACGTCTACACTGAACTGAAAGAATGACAATTCACTCCGGTCTTATACGGTTTATTCCCAGCCCCTGAGAAATCTCTAGTACCTTCCATTTCTAAAATTTACTGGAAGGCTTACATGGTTAAATTAGATATAAAGGCCAGATATAGTTATAATTACATATAGGGATCAATTACAGTTACTCAAGGACTGGACTTGAATGTTGCCACATTACTTTTAGCCAAAGCTTCTTCTCCAGACAAATTTCATGTTACATTTACAAAAGATATTATAATTTTACATAAATTTGACTAAAATTACTCATATATGCACAAAATTCGTAACACTGCCCTCTTCTCAAGGACTGTATGTCCCATGCAGTACAATGCCTGAACTGAGAGCCTTAACTTACAGCCAAGGAAAATCCATGCAACACTAAAATAATAATTTCAATAAATAAACACACAACAAATCAAATAATAAATAAATGCATGAATTTACAAATTTGTATAGATATAGGACAATGGTCTTAGTATTATACTATTTACAATATAGGGACTATGTACCACCATTTACTGGCCATAGTAAGGGGCTGGCCTCTTGTAATGAATGACTTCATGCTCAGAACATGAAGACTTATGGATACAAACTACGACATCGTTCATCCTGTTTAGACTGTCCCAGGGGTGACTTAGTATAGGAAAGAGGCCTTTCTGTCAAATCAAATTCCATAACCACACCTTGTCACCTTTGTTGAAATGATGTCCTGTTCTCGTATCATATCAGGTCTTCATAGTCTCCTTCGCCAAGTTCACTTGCTATCGTGCAAAATTGTGCATCATTTCTTGCTTGGAGATCTTGAATATACTCCTCAGGCTATGAAGGCCCATATGGACAGTGACCAAACAACAGATCACAAGGAAGACTAAGGTCATGATCAAAGAGCATCTGGGATGGAAAACAGTCAGTATCGCAGACAGCACTGCAATAACTTCTGGTTCCAAATGCGTTGGTTTTCGGAAACTATAAACAAGAGGTTGTTAAGGAATGTTCGATTAAACCTCTATACCTTGCCATAAGTGCAGATGTAAAGATATCGTTTAGATTCTGTCTGTTCCAAGTAGTTTACAGAGGTCTTTAATTAGACCTGAAATAAAATTCCTTTTGGATCAAAATGTAACTAAAGAGACAATCTAAACCTGGAAATCCAATGCTGCATCATTACCTCTGGTAACATGGCATCTTCTTGATCAGGGATAGCACTCACTTTAAGCCACTTTGTGAAGTAACCTATTCCGATGAGGATGTAGTTATTGTTATCAAGAGTTTGTGGCACAGTCCCCAAGATGTCAATTATATTTTCAAAAGACATTCCTACATACGTTGCAGCTTTCCTCAGCTGCTGTGTTTCTTCGGTCCTTTCCAGCCTGTATAAGCATGGCAAGAGTAGTACAGTACAAAGTCTGTAATCCGTACGTCCATTATTCGGAATGATCTATAATAAGGACCTCAAAGCCACAAACTTACGCATACGCGTTTGATGCGCGCGTCCGCTACGCATGCGCATAAAGCCAATAAAGCATTTACCCATGCGCGCTTCCGATAGTGAAGAAGGTTACATTGAAAGAAATGTTAATAAAGTAAACAAATAGATATTACGCTTTTTTTTTGGTAAATTTTGATACCCTTTAGATAATAATTGCTCTTTATTTCATAAATTATGGTTTCTTATTTTTAATTGTATAATTTCTGCATGTTATCTTATTAGATTTAAATTCATGATCTATAATACGGAAAAACCCCTAATCCGGAATCACTGAAGTCCAGATGAGTCTGGATTATGGACTTTGTACTGTACCACTTTTGCACATCAGCCCTTGCATTACTCCAGTAGAAGCACTCTCAAAGTCCAGGCGAACGCTTAGAAGTATTAGCTGCCACAGGAATGCTTCTCCATCATCTGATTCGAAATTTGGGTACAATACGCCATTTCGAATATAAAGCGAGTCCCAGAGAGCCCAATATTATTTTATCATAAGAATATAGATCAAAATGTTCTACCAGGTAGGTTTCCTATTCAAAGACTTCATTAAGACAAGTATGGGCTTAATGTTGCCATCTTCCAACTTCTCTCTATGGGTCTGGGTCAGCCGATATTGAAGTTGCAATTTGATGTGGGACCAGATTAACAAGCTTGTACTTTGCTTCAACCCTAGAACAATATTGGCAGTTTTCTGGACAGGGAATCAAGGGTTCTGAGTGATGATACTTTCCAAGGACGAATAATGATGTCATATTACTGGAGTCTCTATATCCATCTAGCTATTTGACATTCATGATTCTTAAAATTTAATAGCCAGCTGAACAATGAATGATATGTGCACAGCATGAATTTTCTCCGATAGATGTAATCATGCAAATGCTCTATGCCTTTAACTATGGGTAATCACCCATTTAACTTGCTCTAGTATGCTGCAACACGTTCTTCACCATTTATTTCTTGGGACAAGAACAGCATCGACACCTCAATTGCTCACATTTGTGTCAAGAATAAATGGATTATCGAGCTGAAGATACGTCAAAGATATTGAAGCTTCTTCAGTTCATGAAAGGCATCCTCATATTCTTTTGTCCACAAGAATTTTTGCTTGTTCTCTGTCAGTTTATGAAGAGGAATTGCAAAGGAAGTAATGACTTTCACAAATCTCCTGACACAGCCCCAGGAAACTTCTCAGCCGAAGGACATTTTCGGGAGATTTCCAATCTTTAACTGCGGCAGATTTTCTGGAATTGTACATACACTTTTGGCAGAGATAACATGTCCCTGGTGAGTCATTTCCTATCTGAATAATTTACATTTGGTAGGACTTAACTTTAGAATAGCTTCTTTCAATTTCTGAAGCACCTTCATAAAATTTTTTTTATGTTCTACAAAACTTTTCTTGACCACGAATCTATGTCTGATATACACAGATTATGTCATTTATGTATATCAGACAGGCTTCATAGAAAAACCTCTCAGCAGGTCTCCATGAGGCGTTCGAATGTTGCCGATGTATTATATAATCCAAACAGCATCATCTTGAGCTGTAAGTCCTTGTCTGGTAGTAAAAGCTGTCTTCTCTCAGTCAGCAGCTTATAATCTCTTACCTGCCAATATCCACTCTTAAAAATTAAGAGTAAGAGTAAGAAAAAAAAAAAAAAAAAAAAGCAGTTTCCAGAATGTGTTTAGAATGTCGTTAATTCTAGAAAGAGGGTAGCTGTCTTTCTTCATGATATCATTCAGTTCAGTTGGCAACAGACAATTCAAAATCTAGTTGAAGCATTCTTTTTAACCAAGATGGCAGGAGAGGACCAAAGACTTACAGAAGGCAAACTTACAAAAGGTACTACAATTTCACATATAATTTGAATGAAATTGTTTAAATATGCACAAAATTTGTAACATTATGTTTATATCTTTATACATACTATAAACACTGATAACTGATCATAAATAAACTGTGACAAAGCAAACATGAATTCATAATGAAATAATATTGTGGTTACCATCTCAACATACTTGCATTGAGACCAACAGCAAGATTAATATGCCATATACACTGCAAAACAAAGGTGCTAATTGGAGAAAGTGCCTCACAATGCGATAAACTAAACTAGTAATACCAATACCACACGATTTCAGGGATTCCTATTACTACTGCATAATACTGAAACAGCATTAAGTGAGGTCTTACAGTATACTGGCTCTCTTAAGATACTGAGAATGATAGGTATTTTGTTTTAAGAGAAATTATTCACAAAATCAGTACGTACCATGATTGGGATTTTCATTTCGATTGGTTATAGGGCTGAGAATACATATTTGGATCCTCATTTCCTGCAGTTGTACCACTAGGAGGAACACTGGCACTCATTGGATCCTGTAAAAGAAACATGTAACCACAACTGCAATGAAATATAGAAATGAAAAAAATAAAGTCAGTGAAAAATACATAATTCTGCACCATTTTTGAATCACAAACATGTAACAATTTCAAAATATGAAAAGGCAATGTAAGCAGAAAGAAATTTTTCTCCTTTTCACCGTTATATGCAGACGAAGAATCCATTAAATTTATACTACTAATTTTTGTTTAAAAGCTGGCAAATATTTAGTTTTAAAAAGATGTGTCAGAGCAAATGCACTTCCTATTCAAATGCATTCTACATAACCAATAATTTTCACTTAACTATGTGTTTTTAATTTTATACAACACAATCACTCCTCCCAACATGAAAAAATATGCATTACTGAAATTTTACATATGGCAAGATGGAGTACTTCTATTGCAAAGAACGCACAATAGAAAAATTATACAGCAATATATCATATTCATAAAATATTATCACCATGTAATAGTTTTTATTTTATTTAATTTTATTTCAACACTTTCTGCATACTTATCTATAAAATTATCATAAGAAAATGCTGTAAAAGAAAACTTTTTATAGAAGGGTAATTTGGAATAAGTGATATTACAGCTGTTGACAACAACTCTAACAGAGTCTTTGCATTTTCAAGGCAAAATTTTTAACATTTTCCAACAAATTCATTCATATTAATGATAAATAAAATCCAGAAAAGAGTTATAAAAGTTGTTATGCTAGCAAATTTAGGTATCAATACTGTGTATGATACATCAAGTTACCTACCTGTATAAGAACACTTAATTTCCAAATTAGACTATTTTTGCCAGCATTTTGAATGACCAATTGTATCTTTTCTACAAAAACAAGTTTTATCAAATTCCTAAAATATCACAATACACATCATATTTATGAATGATATCAAATACTTTTGCTTATGGAGCCACGAAAGGTGCAGCATATTCTGGGTGAAATAAGGATTTCACTAAAGTATATTACTCAGAAGTCCTCTGTCAGGGGTTATTAAAGTTTATTAGTGACTACATAAAACAAACTTATGCCAACAGAACATTTTGAAAGATATACGCTTCCTTGAAGTTTTCTATTGAAACAGCGTATAAAAAAAAAACCGTATCAGCTGTGTTATAGCATAACACATAAACTTCATTTACAGTGTGATCTAAACTCCATTTTAGAGAAAGGGATAAGGAGTATTTGTATAAGTAAATTAAGTTTGCTTATGTTCTTGGTAAGTATATCTTGAACGGATAGATAAACAAGTCTAATACTGTAGCCTAAAAGAAACAGAAGATATTCAAAGCTGAATGCAGTTCACGTTGAAGTAAAGAAGAGTACAGATCAAGACTTATACTAAGTTGTATAGTTTTCAATTAAATTTATTCTATAGTTTAATTATTAGTAATCTACATTTTTATGACCAAGTGCTGTTAAGTTGTAGGCAACTCAACTAAGAGACTGTTTTAAGTGCAAAAGGTTAATTTTATATTTGTTCCTCATTCTGTTAAATTTATCTTAAAGAGAATTGCAAAAAAATGATATTTCTTATTGTACAGCTACTGCATATAAATGCCCATCATGGGGCAAGTAAAAATATTTCCATTAATAATTCAAATATTTCATTTGGAAAAATGATGGCATGCAATCAAAATTGAGATGCAAAACACATTAGATGAAATAACAAGCATTATTTTATAATGTATCACAGGTGGCAACCTTGAAATGTGAAAAATGGGAGTTTCTGGAAGATTTTTTCCCTCTGTGGGAATACCATTTAAAAAAAAAACTCTGAAATGACTTAAATTCATTTTTAATACACAATTCAGATTATAAGGTATTTTCTCCATGCCTTCATGCTGTAACAGTAGCACAATCAGTGCGTAATCGAGAAGTCCAGGTTCGAGTCCCCGCAAGAGCATTTTTCTTTTTTCATATACTGCTGCTTCATAAATACAGTAGCGCTTGAACTAAAAGGTGGTGAATGATGATCCTTCACCATCAAGATATGGCAACTGGATCCCCTAATCCCCAGTCCGCCATTTAAAAATGGGAGTACATAAAATATTTTCTCCCTCCTTTCTGCATGCTTGTAGTAACAGTAGCACAATGGACACATATTCAAGAGGTCCACGTTTGAGTCCCAGTGAAGGCATTGCTCATTTTTCACGTCTCCAGCTTAAAAAAAACCTAATGACTGTACAAGATTCCTAAACTATTTATAATGTGATTCTGATGAAAAATACATCAACATTTAATAAACTATTCTAAACTTTTATGTTCTTCAGTTACTTCATTTTATAATTTTCTTACACTTTTATACAGAAAAAATCATTTGCAAGAAAGAAATGCTTTTGTTTAATCAAAGTACTTTTAAATGCAATAGAAATAAAATTAATATTTAATGAAGCCCTCACATACTACTCTGAGGATGCATTATAAATGCACGATTTATTAATGTAAAACAAAATTAAATACAGTACAAAGTCTTTAATCTGGATGTCCATAATCCAGACCTCAAAGCTACAAACTTTCTGCGCATGCGTGCATAATACGTTTACGAAGCAGCTTAACTTACATTGAAAGAAATGTTTAATAAAGTAAACAAATAAATATTAAGCTTTTTTTTTTTTTTTTTTTTTTTTTTTTTTTTTTTTTTTTTTTTGTAAATTTTGATACTTTTTAGATCTTAATCGCTCTTTATTTCATAAATTACGGTTTCATATTTTTAATTTTATATTTTCTGCATGCCATCTTACCAGATTTAAATTGATGATCTATAATCCATAAAAACCCCTAATCCAGAATCGCTGAAGTCCCAACGAGTCCGGATTAGAGACTTTGTACTGTACAAACCTTAATTATATAACGTTGGTTGAATTTTCATAAAAGGTTCTGCAGATATCCACAGAAGATTAAAACAATTTAAATCAAATAACATTTCATAAAGAAAATTATGCTGAAAGTCATAGGGGGGATGGGAAATCTTTTTCTTTGTAGTTTCCCTACCTAAATATTAAAACCCACGAGATTTGGTGACCTGCCTGTATACAAAAGACATACTGAAAATTGGGAGCTACATGCATATAAAAGAAGCTGATAAAAAAAGCTCTGACTAAAAACATATATCACGTTTTTGCAAGTGATAATTGTAAATCATATCTTGAGGTTTATGCATATAAAAGAATGGCTATTATTGCTGCGAAATTAATAATTTTGCTAAAAATATTTCCTTAATTGTTGTTGGTTGCCTAGCAAATATATTAAATGACCATTCTTATTATGTAGCAGACAGATTAGATATTCAGAAAATTATTTTTAAAGTATATTAGCATTTCTGCATTTAATCAGTGTTTGTAGTGAGAAATTAAAATAGTGTTTTATGTTTGTTGAGACTTAATATAATCTACTGGACTCTCTCACACTTAAAGAGAAAATGGTTATTATTTCCTACATTTGAAGATCCCCAGCCTTAATATTTTTTCTTAAAACAAAACCATTTACACTGATTAAAACAAGTTTTAAACTTTAATTTTGTAATATCCATCTATATGAGCTGCAATTATTCATAAGAGTATTCTACACTCATGTCCATAAATTAAGGATACTTCGGAGTCACGCGGAAATCGAACTCTAAAATAAATATATCACCTGTAAAATCACTACACACATCTTCAAGAATCATATGCAAATTTCAGGAAGTAACCAGATGACACCGATGGTACGTCACAATGACAAGAGCGTAAGAGAGTGATATGTAAGGAATACAGGCAAAAAAGTAAAATTGTTCGCAGGCGCTTTATAAGCATTTCAGTGCAATAACCGAATAGTTATGACAAAAAGGACGCATTTGGATGATTTTTACGTGGTAAAGTTATCGATCATCTGGATGGAATGTGGGCGTACCCAACTGGAAGTATTAGACGAACTTGGAATTTGGAACTGGAGTGTAATCTCCAGGCTTTGGCAACGATTCCAAGATGATGGTAATGTGAGTAGACGTTACAGCACAGGTTGCCCCAGAGTTACAACGCTGAATGAGGACTGGTATTTGGCAGTTACTGCCAAACGAAGCAGGCGGAGCACAGCCTCAGACCTGTCTTGTCAGCTCTCTTCAGCCACTGGTACGACAATTTCAAGGCAGACCGTCTACAGACGCTTAGGGCAGATTGGTCTATATGCTCGTAGACCTGTCACATGCGTTCCTGCAACTCACTGTCGCCTGCAGTTAGCCTGGAGTAGAGAGCATGCATTGCGGTCACCGCAATAGTGGGCTTGTGCGATGTTTTCCGACGAGTCCAGGTTTAGCTTGCAGTCCGATTCTCGCCGGACTTTCATAATGAAGAGCTCCAGGTACCCGTTACCACCAAGAAAAACATCGTTGAACGTCACCGTTACGGTGGTGCAGGAGTGCTCATTTGGGGTGGAATTATTCTGGGTTCCAGAATTGACCTGCTTGTTCAAATTAGAACCATGACAAGCCAAATCTATTGGGACGTCATTCTGGAACAACATGTATGTTTGTTTCGGGGCGCCATGGGCGCATAATTTGTGTTTATGGATGACAACGCCCGTCCTCACCGTGCAAACATCGTAAGCGAATGTCTTCAATCGGAGGATATCACCTGTATGGACTGGCCAGCATTCTCACCGGACTTGAATCCAGTAGAGCACGTGTGGGATATGCTTGGCCGACGAGTTGCAGCCCGTCAACCTCCTCCTACATGTCTACCGGAACTTCGGAGAGCATTGCTTTTTGAGTGGTGTAATATCCCGCAAGATCAGATCGATAATTTGATACTCAGCATGCCTACGCGTCGTACGGACTGTATTGCATCGTCTGGGAGACATACAATGTATTAACAATCATACCAACCATGTAATATTGTTTTTTTTGTAAAAAATTTTTTTTTTTTTTTTTTTTTTTTTTTTTTTTTTTTTTTTTTTGTAATTTGCTCCAGGGAGAAAAAATCGCTAATTTTATTAATAATATCAAACA